CACCCGGACAGCTGATGAAACAGATGAGTATTTCTGTCTGTAATAAAGCCCTTTTGTGGGGAAAAACTCATTCTGATTGGCTGGGCCTGGCTCCCAATGGCTCCACCCATCACTGCGACCCTGCCCAGTCATGAGAAATAAAGCAAAACCAAAAGGTGGGATAAGATAAAGACTAGTGAACATCTCTACAAAAATAGGTCAATTGTATACAACTTGGTTAGGCCTTTAACAACAGGCTACATATAGCCGTAATCAAGGGAAACTATCCTGGAAATGCACATACAGAAGTGTTAAAAGCATGTCCTTCCATGGCCTCGGTAGATGATACTTTATTAAAGGATGTGGCAAATTTAACTAGAAACTCTTGCTATTTTGTAAGTAGCTTAGTCAAGAGTGCCCACCCTAATATTTCTTATTATGGAGGTCCCCAGATTTGTTATCAGATTGCTGGGACACCGGTCTTTCAAACCATGGCTATAGCTGATACTATTTACATAGTTTCATACACGTTTAAAAAATGGAAGAAAGTGACAAAAATAGATTAATAGGCATGAGATCAGTTTGAGGGTACATGTAACAACCTTCGACTGGTACAACAAGATCAGCCAGTGCAGTGGCATCACTAAAACTATTACTTGCTGCCCTCTATAGGTTGGGCCTTGAAGGAAAATTGGTCCTTGTTTTTTTTGGTTATAAGATGGTACTCTTCAAAATCCAAAAGTGTATCCATGAATAGAAATGGACAAAGTTTTTCTCTGGAATCAAAACAACAAAGCAGGCTAAAGAAGGTACCCATTGTCACGCACTGTGAAAAAGTACTAATAGTGGTTAATTTACCTCACAGTACTTACCATTATGTCTAAGAGGAAGGCAGAGCAAGTGAAGGATCTACTTGGTTGTGATTGTCTGGACAGCAAACATGAACACATCAGTCGGATACATGGTTGCAGTAACTATCAAGCTGAGAACATATGCAAAAACAGATACCAAAAAGAACATGTAACATCTGAACATGAAGCTTTACGATAAATATGATTTCTTAGAGGGGAAAAATTGATGGAAAGCAGAAATTAGCCTTAAAGCATATGAAAACATAGGTAACTTAACATTAATGTACCCTTTAACGGAGGTTGTAAAGGGTTCACATTAATAGTTAGTTTACAAATAGTTTGTCATTAAGTTCTAATTCATTAACTGATATTTAAAGGTCTAACTACTTATTAACCATTTACACCTTTAAAGGGTACCTTAATGTAAAGTGTTACCAAACATAAGACATGGAAATTTTTTACATTTAAGTCATTTAGCAGACGTTCTTTTCCAGAGCGAGTTACAGGAGCAATGAGTTAAGTGCCTTGCTCAAGTGCAAATATCTTTCACCTAGTCGGCTCTGGGATTCGAAGCAGCGACCTTTCGGTTACTGGCCCAACACTCTTAACCGCTAGGCTACCGTGGCCAGCTTCAGGTTGGGTACACACAGTTGTCTGTGTTGAGGAACGAAATGGTAACTAAATGAATGAGTGTGGTAGAGAAAGACTACGGGAGAATCTCAATAGCATACTCCTCGCCTCCTTCTCAAAACCCATTGGATGAGAAAGCCAGATGTACCTCTCCTCCGACATTCTCCTCTAAAAGGATTTTGAGAACGAGGTGAGGAGAGCGTGGAAGAGGATATGCAATTGAGATTCTCCCTATGCCAGGTCACTTACCAGTACCGATGTTAGCATCCGCTTTGAATAGATAGAGCATTGATAAAGCATTTTAAAATATGATTTTAAAGAATAATCATATCAGAAAGATTTTGAAGAATTACAATAGAAAACATCAGGGTTCAAATTACACTAACATTGATATTTCCATTCTTTTGCTCCTGTAGCCCCCCTGTAATTCAAATCCCGCAAAATATAATTGTGAGTCAATCTAAAATTCAAAATGAGAGTTCTTTCCCGTCTTTACTGTGGTTCAAACCCTTACAAAAAGAATTGTTGACATGTGTTGAAGACTTCACTATCACAATCAAGTCCAGTCTGCACAGGTGTTTTTTTATTACCAAAAATGCTTTTATTGGCTTCTCTAAGCAGTTTATAAATTCAATAACCGGTACAGCCCTGGAAATCATATCACAAGGGTCTTGAACAAATAAGACAGGGATGGGGAGGCATCTGCTACAAAATTTGGTGTTGTGGTAACGATCAGAAAAAAGCCATACAAAAACATATCATGCATATCGGTAGAAACAAAAAATTAACATACATTTTTAGTGTTTTTGTACATTTTTGTAAACAATATCCTTCTAGAGATCATATCAAAACATTTATGGCAAGTAACAAAAATAAGGGATATAACATGAGAGAAATGAACGTTTCTATGAGGCATCTAGAATGCAACACTGCTTGGCGTGAATGCTTTACAGACAAAACAAATAATACATTTAGCATTTCAACAAGTCAATTGCTCTTCTATAATTGTAAACACAGGTGGTGTTACATGATTATACAATGTTTAACCTATACTACAAGTATTTCCACTACATACATGAAATGTGTGTCCCTGTTTTCTGACGCTTCAGTGATATGAGGTACATTAGGGTCTGAAATAGACACAGAAAATTAGCTACATATCAACCCTGACTGCCGGGAGAGAATGGCTTGAGCTGCGGAAGACAAAGAAGGCCATTGTTTATTCTTGCAAAATTTGAAGAATGCATTTCTTTGGGGAGATATTATATATATATATATTAGTAATGTTGAGCCTGTATGTTTGAGGCAATTGTTATGTATCAGGCCTGATTTCATAGGATAAAGACAGATTGAGGTACAGTGAATACTTGCAATTCCAAAACATCCTGCAAAAAGACTCTTACTAGGTTACAAATAAATAAAGGGAAAATAGTTTTTGCATCCAGTAGAGTCTTAGTACATCAGTGGGAATAAAAAAAAAGGGGTGTTGCAGCATATTATCTGCCCCCTCTCAAAACAATTTACACTGAACAACAATATAAAACGCAACATGTAAAGTGTTGGTCCCATGTTTCATGACCTGAAATAAAAAAAATCCCAGAAATGTTCCATACGCACAAAAGGCTTAACTCTCTCAATTTGTGCACACATTTGTGTACATCCCTGTTAGTGAGCATTTCTCCTTTACCAAAATAATCACCTGACAGGTGTGGCATATCAAGAAGCTGATTAAACAGCATGATCATTACACAGGTGCACCTTGTGCTGGGGACAATAAAAGGCCACTAAAATGTGCAGTTGTCACATTGTCACAACAATGCCACAGATGTCTCAAGTTGAGAGAGCGTGGAATTGGCATGCTGACTGCAGGAATGTCCACCAGTGTCGTTGCCAGAGAATTTAATGTTTATTTCTCTACTATAAGCTGCATCAAACGTCGTTTTAGATAATTTGGCAGTACGTCCAACCGTCCTCACAACTGCAGACCATGTGTAACCAAGCCAGCCCAGGACCTCCACATCTGGCCCTTTTGTGGGGAAAAACTCATTCTGATTGGCAGGGCCTGGCTCCCCAGTGGGTGGGTCTATGCCCTCCCAGGCCCACCCATGGCTGTACACCTGCCCAGTCATGTGAAATCCATAGATTAGGGCCTAATGAATTCATTTCAATTGACTGATTTCCTTATATGAACTGTAACTCAGTAAAATCTTTGAAATTGTTTCATGTTGCGTTTATATTTTTGTTCAGTATCAATACAGAGGTATTCTCAGAACATTGGGTTACATACAATTATGGCAAATCATCATTTGTACAACCCCTCCACCTGACCAAACCGTCAAAAAGACTAAAACAAAAATACATCTCAATGCCCATGTCCATTCAACCCGTCTAACCCTCCCTACAGAACAACAAATCACCCTATCCCACCCACCCCCGTTCACAGTTATCTTCTTCAATAAGAAAATGGCTTTGTTTTGCGCATCCTTAATTGAGTTGGGCTGTTTTTAGTTTTCAATTACGATTTTGTTTTTAAAAGTGCTTGTTTGATTTCCACTGACAAAAAAGGTAACAGCCAGGAGTGGAGTGGAACCCAGTAACAATTTGAGACAATATAGTTGAAATGTCACCAATGGGGCCAGCGCATTTCCTTGTCACGGGCCATTGAAGGGGGCATCCAAAGGTGCATGGCTAGACAAACATCACTTATATATACAAAAAAAGGTTATCGGGTTGAAACTGCTTTCCGTTGAGGCTGGACTGTGTGCACTATGAGTTCTTGAGTGTATAAATATCCATGTTAGCGTGTGTTTTACATGTGGCCCTTTGCGGAGGAAATGCGAGCAGTCATTTTCACATTGACACAGAAGTACCATAATCTCTACACAGCTACACGTCGCGGAAAGGGTTGTTCAATGACAAAGAAAACTGAACAGGAAGATCCGTTGAATTTGTTTGTCTTTTTGTTTCCCCCTCCTCGAGGGATAAATAGTAACAAAGCTTTGTAGTCTCAAAGTACACTTGTAAAAAGTGTGCTAATTGCATCTCATTATACAAAGTTTTCCTTATTACACAATTTTTCCTTAATACCTGAGTAATACGATTCTTGTAACAGACAATATAACTTTTTTTGCCATTTGAATTCTGGGCCTTTCCCTGCCACCACCTTATTATTATTGTAATTATCAACATCATTCATTATTACTTTACAACTGTATGATGATTGGTAAAACAAGAGTTCAAAAATAAAAATGATCAAGCTTAGCTAACCCCTAATTTTTAAATTACATTAAAATCTACGTTTACGTTCATATCATACCAACTACACTAACAAAATAAAGACTAAATACAGATTTTTTTTAAAGGAATATAAAAAATTGCATTTGAGGCCTTGAAGACCTTCCCCTGGTAGAGTTCTCATTATCAACATTTAATGGCAGTGTTTTTAAAAAATTGACCTCGCTACAAGAACAAAATGTAGAGGGGTATAGGGACACAAAGAAAAATACAAGACCCGCAACTAGGTTCACCTCATTTTAACCCTTACCTGAAACTTTGGCTTGTTGGGGTTTTCGATCCTGTACTTACTGGCTCACTGACGTCAGCTAACAAACTGGTATACCCTGAGAATTCTGACACGGGAGTTCGTATTCGTTGATCGACCTCAGCCCCAGTGCTGTAGCCCAGCGGGGTGTGGCAGCCCGACTTAAATTGGGAACCGAAGGCCTGGGCGAAGTTTTCGATCTGGTAGGTGGCCCGCAGGTCCATTTCCTTGGGCGTGATCAGGTCGGAGTAGCTGCCGGAGCCATTGGTGCCGTTGCTCCCGTTGCCCTTGGCCCCCTGCTCCTTGGGGGCTCCACCGGTGGCCGTCAGCTCCTGAGGCATGAGCTGGAACCCGGGGGAGTGGTGCTGCTTCTCCAGCTGCTCGGTGAGCTCCTGAGACGGGGTGAGCTGCTGGTGGCCAGCCACCTCCAGGTTGCTGAGGTGGAAGGCCGGCTGGGAGGGGGAGCCCACCACCATGCTGTAGTGGGACTTAGAGGAGGACAAGGAGGAGGAAGAAGAGGAGATGGAGGGGATGGGCAGCGGCGAGGAGACGGCGGGCTGGTAGCCGCACTCCAGCGGAGATGTAGTGTAGATATGCTTGTCGGAGAAGAGAGGCCCCGTGGGGCTGGAGGTGCTGGAGAGCAAAGGGAAGGGCCCGCTGGGGACCAGCGTGGGGAAGGGCCCGCTGTGGCTGGTGCGCTCCAGGGCCTGCAGCAGGAACTTGGAGTACTCGCTCATGACCACCTGCTTGTCGCCGCCGTTGGGCGAGTCGACGTCCAGCTCTGGGGTGACAGGGGCCGCCGGCTGCAGGGTCACGTGGTGCGGGCCGCTGTGGTCCGAGAGGTCAAAGTTCACATCGTGGTGATGGTGGTGCGTGCCTTCCGATTTGTGGCTGTAGTGGTCCAGCAGGCTCTGGAGCACCTCGTCCGGGATGACCGACTTGTCGTGGTGCTTGAGGTCCAGGGGCGAGGTGTCCAGCATGGCCAGGGTGGGCTCGTTGTGGTGTCCCAGCGATCCTTGGATCACGCTGCTGGCATGGGGCTGGCCCATGTGGAGGGATGGCGCTGCGTAGTCGTTGTTGGCCATGTGTTGGAGGTAGCGCCGCTTCTTCACAAACTGCATGGCGTCGTCGTAGTTGTTGCTTGTGGCTGATGGGCCCCGTTTTGCGCCACCGCTGGAGGAACCCTGGAGGAGGCCCATGGCGTCTAGCCCTGAGCCCCCCGCCAGCTCCATGGAGCCCTGCTTCTGAGACAGCAGCTTCTGCCCCCCATCCTCCATGGGGAGGAGGCCCTTCTTGGCCTTCTTGAACACCAGCTTGGGTGAGCGGCCCTGCAGGCTGGGGCCGGCGCACTCCATGCCGTAGTCCTGCAGGCCCCCGGATGACGCGGTGGTGGCAGCAGCCTTCTTACGCTTACGATCGCCGCCCTCGCCTACATTTTTGGACTTGCCTCTCTTGCATGCCGAGGTGGCGGTAGCGTTTCCCTGAGTGAGTGAGTAGTTGCCCTGGCCCATGTCTCCGTGGGCAAGCTCCAGCATGCTGGGGTCCAGGCCCTTCTTTATGGCTTCTCCGCAGGTCCGCTTGTGCTTTAATAACCGGTCCGTCCTCGAGAAAAACTACAGGGGGAACGGGGGAGATACACAGTATTTTAAAACTTTCTAGTCACTGGATAGAGCAAATGGATCAATGACAGCAAAATGCATCGGCCCACTGTTAGATGCACCCAAAGCGCTCGACAAAGCACTACGGTTTGAAACGTCTGTGATGACAGAGCACGTTGCAAGCATCAAACAGTGTGGAGTACCCATGATATTTTGAGCAAACACATGCTAGATTAAGATAAACTGCAAACATCAGTCTAACATCAAGAACTGACATTAATAACTATTGTCAATCAGACCTGGGTTCAAAATAAATGTGTATTCAAGTATTTGCTCTTTAAATACATAGAAAATAAGTATTTTAGTATTTTCAAATAATGTGGCCAAATCAGCTACTTCTATTTTACGTATTATATAGTATTTTCAAATAAATTCCTATAAATAGCTGTAACTATTTTCAAATACTTACTTCCAAATACATTATTTCAAATACGCCTAGGACCAAGCAGACCTTGGTTCAAATGAATGGAGTATTTAAACCTTTACACTCATGGGAATTGCCCTATATGGATAGGCCCAAATTGAAATGTTTTTAACAGAAGAAATATTAAAATGGAAATGTTTTTAACAGAATAAATATGAGAAGCATATGTATAATCATGGTAGCAATTGAAAGGGAACACTTTGGAAATCCACAACAGTTCACCTGACCTCACCACAAGACTGAATCCAGTACATTTACTGTACTTTTCGCAGCATTAGTCAATAACTAAATCTGAAATTACCCTGGATACATTCAGTAACATAGTAAGAATATTCATGGAGACTTGGGGTAGGTGCAACATTGAGAGGTCTAACTGGTGTCTCAACATAGCCACACACACACACACACCTTTCCGAATTGTGCACAATTCCTTTTAAGACTCAAGGAAAGAATCTTCAACTATTAGGTGCTTTTGAGTTCTCCTAGCTGTGCCAGTGAGAAACTGATGCAAGGACACTTGTCGTTTGTTTGGAACACAGCTGTCTTGAAGACAACATTAATTTGCTTAGTGTTCCATTTGTAGATGTGCATTTACGGGACAACAAAAAAGAAACCAAGCATCACACAGTTCTCCCTAAAGTCCCTTTCCCCTCAGCGTCTCACTCAATTGCGTTCCGACCGCTCCAGCTACACACGCGTGCTGAGTGCGCCTACAGAAATAAATGCCTATTAAAACGATGGGATACACAAGCATTCCATGCCAAATGACAGTTTTATCACAAATTCAAAATGGACTGGTTGACTGAAGTAAGGAAATGCGTGTTCCAACAATGAGCTGCAGTTTTTGAATAATTGCATAATTTTCCGCTTAGGCTACTTTGCAATTGTCACCAGTTACCACAGCCACAAAGTCAAAATTGCCTATATTGTAAAAATTTATAAAAACAAAAATGAGCTTTTTGGTCATCAATTCAGGTTAGGATTAGTAATACGTTTAGCAGTGTGGTTAAGGTTAGGTTTAAAATCAGACTGTAAGAAGAGAAATTGTAGAAAAAGCAGGGGTTTGTGGCGACCCTACTTTGCAAACTGCTAGTGCCATTTAGAATTGGTTAGCCTAAGCTATATCCCCCCCCTAAACATACAGGTTCCACAGTGAAAATATGCAAAAACATTCGTTTGACAAAGAGCGTATTTTCATCAGAATCATTATGCCTAGGCCTACTCACCAAACATATTTCATCCCACAGTTCAATGTGGAATTATTAATCCATTTAGAAAATTCCAAAAGAACAGGCAGAATGAACTAAATCAAACATCGGTATATCGAAAAGACAGATTTGTTTGTGACCCTGAAAAATGTGGTCTTTCAACTCACCAAATTGAGCCCTGTTTCAAATTATCACTCTTTGAGAATAACTGTTCCAGACGCGAGATGCGCATCACTTCGCACTATTCTGTTATATTTTATTCTGTTATATTACATCATGTTTTTTTATTATAAAATAGATGTGTCGACTGTGATAAGTGCTCGGGAAATAAGAGGGTATTGTCTACTAAATTAACAAAACAATGCTATGCCATTGCACAGCCATAGGCTTCTACAAGCAAGTGCCACTGCTGAGGTTACTACCTTTTTGAAGATTGTGTTCCATAATATAACCAGTTGATATTATGGTTTCAATAAATGAATCTTAAAATGGCACTTGTTTCTTTATTGACTGAGTGTACAAAACATTAGGAACACCGTAATATTGAGTTGCACCCCCTATTAACCTCAAAACAGCCTCAATTCGTTGGGGCATGGACTACAAGGTGTCGAAAGCGTTCGACAGGGATGTTGGCCCATGTTGACTCCAATGCTTCTCACAGTTGTTTCAAGTTGGCTGGATGTCCTTTGAGTTATGGACCATTCTTGATACACACGGGAAAATGTTGAGCGTGAAAAACCCAGCAGCGTTGCAGTTCTTAAAACACTCAAACCGGTGTGCTTGGCACCTACTACCATACCCCGTTCACAGACTCTTAAATATTTTGTCTTGCCCATTCACCCGCTCAATGGCACACATACACAATCCATGTATCAATTGTCTCAAGGCTTAAAAATATTTTTTTTCACCTGTCTCCTCCCCTTCATCTACACTGATTGAAGTGGATTTAACAAATTACATCAATAAGGGATCATAGCTTTCACCTGGTCAGTCTGTCATGGAAAGAGCAGTTGTTCCTAATGTTTTGTACACTCAGTGTCTATGAGGCAATTTGGCAATTATGATTCATTATCTGTTTCCGTTTCATTATATATATAAATAAAAGCACACTTTTGTCATTTGAGTACATGAACACTCAAAACATTTCAAATGCCCATCCCTACTAGCTAAGTTATACAAAATGATCTTACAGTGTTAGGTTTTCACAAAGAAGTTCAGAGACACATTATTTCTGTTGGGAATAGAATGGAGTCATGAGTGCATTTTGGTGCGTGTTCCACTGCTAATTTCCTTTACAATACGACAAACATAGGCTCATTCTGTTCAGAAGAACCCAGGGTATGATGCCATGTCATCCTTGTAACTGTTCAAACATAGCGATCATAAATGTTGATATTGCAAATTACAAGTTGTATAATATGGACATGTGAAAGTGCACATTTGGACTCACGGATGTGTGGTTTGCGTGTATCACATCAAAGCGGTGTTTTTTTAAAATAATTCACAACGTCTCAGAACACTGATTTAGAGCATTCCCCTCACTCAGACAAAACATTCGCAAAAGTAGTCCAATTAGCAGGAGGGATGGGGGCATATTCTTTTTGCGAGTAGTGCTCAAGTTTAGAATGGCTGTCCGTTTAGAATGGCTGTCAGTTGAATCCCATACATCGCTGTAAAGCGGAGACCCTGAGTTCTGACTTCATGTACAGCATATTACTGTACAGCTACTGTGTTCCAATTTAGGCGCTTATCAGTAACCAAATCTGCCATTTTCAACCCGTATACCCGTTGTGAGTGTAAAGGGCTACATATTTGTATTTGAAAATACACATTATTTCCAAATACATTCCAATATTCAACTACATTTTTTCAAAAACTTACCTCGAAATGTGTTTGAAAGTAATTGAAATACCCTAATTTGAACACAGGTTGGTTGCCAATCAAAAATCTGTTTATCTGCTTTGAGGGTAAAACCTAGTTACCCTTGTGACTGACTGACCTGTTGGCAGGTGTCACATCTGTATGGCTTCTCTCCGCTGTGGGTCCTCTTGTGTCGCTCCATGTGGTACTTCTGGATGAAGCACATGTTACACTGGTCACAGCTGAAGGGCTTCTCTCCTGAGGAATGAATATATACACACACACACTACAGGTCAAAAGTGTTAGAACACCTACTCATTCAAGGGTTTTTCTTTATTTTTACTATTTTCTATATTGTGGAATAATAGTGAAGACATCAAAACTATTAAATAACCTGGAATCATGTAGTAACCAAAAAGTGTTTAACAAATCAAAATATATTTTATATTTGAGATTCTTCAAATAGCCACCCTTTGCCTTGACAGCTTTGCACACTCTCGGCATTCTCTCAACCAGCTTCATGAAGCTGGTCACCTGGAATGCATTTCATTTAACAGGTGTGCCTTCTTAAAAGTTAATTTGTGGAATTTCTTTCCTTCATAATGCATTTGAGCCAATCAGTTGTGTTGTGACAAGGTAGGGGGTGGGGTGGGGTATACAGAAGATAGCCCTATTTGGTAAAATACCAAGTCCATAATATGGCAAGAACAGCTCAAATAATCAAAGAGAAATGACAGTCCATCATTACTTTAAGACATGAAGGTCAGTCAATTCGGAACATTTCAAGGACTTCGAAAGTTTCTTCAAGTGCAGTCGCAAAAACCATCAAGCGCTATGATGAAATTGGCTCTCATGAGGACCGCCACAGGAATGGATGAGTTCATTAGAGTTACTTGCCTCAGAAATTGCAGCCCAAATAAATGCTTCATAGACTTCAAGTAACAGACACATCTCAACATCAACTGTTCAGAGGAGACTTTGTGAATCAGGCCTTCATGGTTGAATTGCTGCAAAGAAACCACTACTAATGGACATCAATAAGAAGAAGGGACTTGCTTGGGCCAAGAAACATGAGCAATGGACATTATACCAGTGGAAATGTGTCCTTTGGTCTGGACAATGCCCCAACACACCTCCAGGCTGTGTAAGGGCTATTTTACCAAGAAGGAGAGTGATATATTTTGATTTGTTTAACACCTTTTTGGTTACTACATGATTCTATGTGTTATTTCATCGTTGTGATGTCTTCACTATTATTCTACAATGTAGAAAATAGTAAAAAATAAAGAAAAACCCTTGAATGAGTAGGTGTGTTCAACCTTTTGACTGGTACTATATATATATACATAAATAAATACATAAATAAATGGCATGCTGGCATCATTTCAATTCAGGAAGTAAACTGAAATTTCAATTCAAATGTCTCTGAATTTCCCTTTACTTCCTTAATTGACTAAATTGAAATGGAATTGACCACAGCGCTGGCTGTCATAGGTCAAGACTCACCGCTGTGGATCTTTTCGTGCCGCTGCAGCAGGTACTTCTGGATAAAGCTCATGTTACACTGACTGCACCGGAAAGGCCTCTCACCTGTGCGATCAAAAATACAATCACCCACTCTCCACATTAATTGACTATCAGTGGGGGAAAGCAGAAGTTGGCTTTATTCAAGTGTCAGTTCATTCAATTTGACTTTTTGGATTAACACTGCAGAAGAAGCAAACACGTTAGGGTAAGTTAAACAGTGAAATCCTAAAGGGGATAGTTCAGCCAAATAACACATTTATATTTGTTCCCTTACCTTGAAAGTGGTCTTTGGACAAAATCGGCAATAAAACACTTTGGGGGCAGTGTCTTGTTTACCGAAACCAAAGCGTGGATTGCATTCTCTCCTTGTCCATAGACCACTTTCAAGGTAAAGAAATGTATATATTGACACACATTTGTAATTTGGCTGAACATTCCATTTAAATAAAAATTATAAAACAGAATTTCTCACCGCGACAATGAGTCAAACCTCCAGCAAGAAATGTTTGATTTAGATTACCTCAGCATTGACAGGATATTTGTAGCATCAGTCCTTATGATTACCTCTGCATTTACAGGATTTTTGTAACATCAAACAAATGTCATCAGTGATATTGGATGCATTCGTTTTAGCTCACCCTGTGCCTTGGGTGGGTGAGGATTTCACTTTAGGACCAATAGAATGATCTAAAAAGTGCACACTCCAGCCACCCGGTGCAACGGTCAAGCTAAAACGAATGCACCTAATGAACAAAATAATTCCCATGCAGAAAGCACTGAAAGCCTCTCACCTGTGTGGATGAGCACGTGTCTGCGGAGATGGTAGGAGCTGCGGAAGGCAGCGTTGCAGTGCTCGCAGATGTGTGGTTTGGAGTTGGGAGACAGGCCGGTCCCCCCGCCGTCCAGCATCATGGCCTGTGCGGGGACGGGACAGAATGAAAGGTCAGAATAACCCGATTGCAATTTTACATCGAAGTTTTAACAACATATTGTTTAAGGGGCAAACTGTTGTTAACATGAGCTGACCACAGCAAAACTGAACTGTTGTGCGACTTTATGGTAGCTTTGATTCTAAAACGCATATTAATGTCAATGCTAGAGATGTGTTGTGTTCTACCTTGGGTTCTCCACGTTTTCTTCTGGCTTTCCCCTCCCCATCGCTGTTGCTCTTCCTTCTTCTTCCCGACGACTCTTTTGGCCCTTTCTCTGGTCTTCCAGACATCTGAGGACAAAGCTGAGGAGGAGGTTGGCCATGTAAACAGATACGTTCTTATGATGTGATACCTCATGCACAGTTTTAATATTCTCAAAGGAGCGATAGGTGCTATACTGATAACTAATTTTGATCTTTACAGAGGGAGTCCCAAATACAAAAAGATCAAAGCATACATGGATTAACTCTACAGAATATATCTATTGAGGAGGCCCCCTTTCAGCCACTAAAACTACAACATTAAAAAATAAACATGGCTCCCTCACCGGCTCTCCCATTCGGACATCGCCGTGGCTGAGGTCGTGCAGGAGCATGTTCTGATGGTTGTGGTGGTGGCCTCCACCAAACTGCATCTCCAGCATCTCGTTGCCCTTACCCACGCCCCCCCCTCCTCCGCCACAGCTGCCACCCAGCCCTCCTCCCCCGCCACCTCCGCTATAAAGGGGCATGCGGTAATCCAGTTCACTCATCCGCTCTTGCTTGATGCCCATGCCGTGAAGGAAGCCGTGGGCGTTGGGTGGCGAGTCGCGCTCCTTCTTCAGGATCATCTCCTGGGGAAGGTCGCCCCCCATGACCGACTGCGAGGCCAGGCGGGTGAAGCTGGTGACGGGCGGCAGGTGGCTGAACATGAGCATGCCCGGGGTAAAGTTGGGGTCCATGCCTCCATTGCCTCGCAGAAACTCGTTGCCTAGCTTGTCTTGGATAATACTCATGGTTGGTCAGCACGTGCAGAAAGGGGAAACACTAAATGGGGCCAAGTGGGGATGTCCTGGAAGAGAAGGGAGGAGGCTAAGTATAGCTCCACAATATCAGTTTTACAATTGTTATTTAGCAGATGCTCTTATCCAGAGCAACTTAGAGGATTAATTAGGGTTAAAGTGAAATTTCACAATTGTTCAACTTCATATTCATCATCTCCAGCACCACCTGTGAAAATGGCATGTTTCTATGTTTTCTGGGAAAAAAGAGGAACATCATTGACATCATTGATTTTAACCAATTATGAGTAGGCATTGCCTACTAATTGGCTACTAATTGGTTGATGTCATTGGAAACACTTATCTACCTCTATCTTTTTGACTACAAAAAATTGAAATGTACTATTTTCACATGTTGATGTTGGGGTGATGCTGGAGATGAAGTTGAAAAATTGTGAAATTTCTCTTTAAGTGCCTTGCGCAAGGGCACGCCGACAGATTTTTCTACATCTTGAGTTGAGATAATATATTAGACAAGTTGTTTTCTCATGTGTTTTTTTGCATGAGAGAAAAAAAAATAAACAATCTTGTAAGGTTTTGGTTTAACCCTGATCTTAGGGCTAGACTGGTCCCAGGTGGATTCAGCGTGCTCTACATTTCCCCAGTCATCCATTAATTACTTGATTGGATTTATTGGGATTTGCCTATCTGGAACAGGACGCGTGAGTAGTTCTATTTCTACGGAGTGAGGCTATGATATAGTGGCTGGGTTATGGTTATCAAGCAAAAACTGTGTTGTGGCTCCTTTGAAGACCTTATAAACACCCTGCTTCTTGTTTACTTTAAGTAATATAATTGTCTAATGTTCCATGTAGGATAACCCACATTTCCAAATGCCAGGCTGCTATGGCTAAATAAAATTGCCATGATTAAAGAGGGCAAAATAACTCCACCGTTAAAGCAGGGACATATGACTAAATTGCCTAGTCCAGCGTTATCGTGCAAAGCGCAAGGGAAGCGACATGCGTTATCCATGTCATATAAGATTCACAGCACCGCAGCAAAATCAAGGCCATTACTAGCCGTGCTAAGTCTCTCTCACCGGGTCAACAAAGATTAAACAAAGATTAAAGAAACGACTTAAGCTAAAGCAAAGCTTAACCTCTTGACTGCTGGCAGCATGCTCCCAACAATGGACCAAGGCCAGCAGCTGTGCCAGTCTGAATAGAATATCAGCCTAATAAAAATGGTGCTGAAGAGTTTGCTCTCGAAAACCCAATTCATTAACAAGGCATTCTGCCTTATCCCAAGGGTTCTCAGCTATAAGCACCACTTACTGGTGGGACCATGTGAACTACAATCCCAATGCTCTGTTTTAACGTTTAGAAACGTCAATAATCAACACTTGCGATGCAGTTCTCGAAACATATGGAAATTATTTCCTATCAGCTAAATAATCTTTCAAATAAAAAATATACACTTATTGTAGCAGGGTTTCACAGCTCCATAAGGCTGTAAAACCACACTTCCCAGTTATGCTTTCCCTTAAATTAGCACAGATGGTCGCCTCGGTCTTCCGTAAACAAGCGCTGTAACACAGAGATATGGCAGTGTGGGAACAACTAACCCTAAAAAAAAAAAGTTGTGTAGTAATTTAACCTCTTTTTTTGGGTGAAAATGATTTCTTGTTTATATGAAAGATACATTCCTTATGTTTCCAAAACGGTACCGCAAGCGATGTGTGTTAACTGTCAGCCAGAGCGTCAGGGCTCTTAACAAAACTCCCCCGGCCAAAAGATACCTTGATGAATACACACTAAAGGTAGTTAGCGTCTAGGAATGGGCAACTGTAGGCTATGCTTGCCCTGCACACCAATGTTCAGATAGGCACTAATCTAGTCCAACAGTGGACATCCCCTGCAGTCGGACCTTAATATCAAATAGGAATGTAGCTTGATATTGAGACAGAAAAAAGATTAACCCATCTTGTTTTTGTGAATCTGAGCGACTCTTATCGATTCCCTGGGTCATTTCATGTTTATCTGAGCTATTACCGTTTAAGCAGGCAGAAATTTGGCAGGTATGACGTAGCATTGTGATAACGCCGCTCTCACTACACTGGAAGTTAATAGGAATTTGACTTTTAGATTGCGAAAACATCTATCATACATGTCAGATTTCAATACTGTCCGATGTCATAACGCGGGAGGTTGTCTCTCGAATAAGCCATTGATCATTTTTGAAAAATTCCTACCTCGAGAAATGTGTAATTTAACAGAGGCCCTAAACACATTTCTGTTATTTGTCTGCCTCTTCAGTCCAGGGTGCACTGCATGGTGTCGTTGCGAATGTCAGACTCCACTCTGAGGCACATCGATCTGCAGGTTGAACATGGTGAGATTGTAGATTCCTAAATTAACAGTGCAGTTTGTTTAGGCAATTGTACAGCTAACTAGCTACTCCACATGCTGATATTGAATTTGGTATTACTGTGAGTAGCTACATTTAATAGCTAGCCAGCCCATAGAGCGCATTGCATTGTGGGTTTTGTAGTCAACTTAAGCTGCAACAGATTTCCACAACAATTCTCATGTTGCTACCAACCTTAACAACAAAATGTAACATTTGTTGACAAAAAATATCGTTCTCACTTAAATTATATGAATTAGTGGTTTTGGGTGGATTCTTTCTTTAAGGTGTCTGCATGCTCCCATCCAAAACAACATGTGTTTCGTGCACACAACGGCTGTTCGTGTACACAAAAAAAATTCTTGAGGCAAGCTCAAGTTCGGGAGCTTTAGTCTACGGCCATTCGTTGGTCAACAGTAGAAATTCTTCAATTAAGTGTTTGTCATTCAACGATACTCATTTTCATGCAAATGTTTCCACTTGAGAAATACTGCATCTTAGTTAGATGTAAAATTGTGCGACTAAGATCTACTCTGCAAAAACATCAAAAGTAATGACAGATTTCTTGAGTTATCTTAGATTGGCTGACTATTCTGGCTCTGGTGTCTCAAGAGGGACAAACAATGCTATTGTGGGATTTTTCTAATTTTTCAAGCAAAGGTCTTTAAAAGGGAGTATGCGACTTGGGCTGACTCCATTCGAGTCAACTGGTTGAAAATATTCACGCAGCTCTAGCTCCTATACACTCGTTTTTCTTGAACTCCTTATTGTTATTACAATTATTATGATCATTATAATAAGTAACGTCATTATCATTAGTAGGCTTCTTATACAGTTCATTCGGAAAGTATTCAGACCCCTTGACTTTTTCCTAAAATGTGTACATTACAGCCTTACTCTAAAATGGATTAAATTGTCCCCCCCATCTACACACAATACCCGATAATGACGAAGCAAAAACAGGTCCGTAGAATTAAATATAAATAACACATTTACATAGGTATTTAGACCCTTTACTCAGTACTTTGTTGAAGCACCTTTGGCAGTGATTACAGCCTCGAGTCTTCTTGGGTATGACGCTACAAGCTTGGCACACCTGTATTTGGGGAGTTTCTCCCATTCTTCTCTGCAGATCCTCTCAAGCTCTGTCAGGTTGGATGAGGAGCGTCACTGCACAGCTATTTTCAGGTCTCTCCAGAGATGTTTGATCGGGTTCAAGTCCAGGCTCTGGCTGGGCCACTCAAGGACATTCAGAGACTTGTCCCGAAACCATTCCTGCGTTGTCTTGGCTGTGTGCTAAAGGTCGTTGTCCTGTTGGAAGGTGAACCTTCGCCCCAGTCTGAGGTCCGGAGTGCTCGGGAGCAGGTTTTCATCAAGGATCTCTCTGTACTTTGCTCCGTTCATCTTTCCCTTGATCCTGACTAGTCTCCCAGTCCCTGCCACTGAAAAACATCCCCACAGTATGATGCTGCCACCACCATGCTTCACCGTAGGGATGGTATTGGCCAGGTGATGAGCGCTGCCTGGTTTCCTCCAGACATGACGCTTGGCATTCATTCCAAAGAGTTTAATCTTGGTTTCATCAGACCAGAGAATCTTGTTTCTCATGGTCTGAGAGTCATTTAGGTGCCTTTTTGCAAACTCCAAGCGGGCTGTCATGTGCCTTTTACTGAAGAGTGGCTTCCATCTGGCCCCTTCTCCTCCGATTACTCAGTTTTGACAGGCGGCCAGCTCAGACAAGACAAGACATTGCGAGATACAGATTACAAAGATATAGCCTACGCGCACAGTTCCGACTGACTGTCTCCCCCCCTTGCCTGCTCTTTATCTTAGCTATGAAAGATGTGAGTGTGTGTTCAGTCTTCGGTCCGTTGCGTCTAGAATAGCTTAGCCTACTCATTGATAGCCCCTACTTTAGTGAACTTGTGAGAAATTTCAAGCCAAGAAATTGACAGATACAGCATTGCGAGATTACCGATGCATGGTTAGGACTGTCTGGCTGGTTGCCGACCTATGCCCCTCCCCTCGCTCTTTATTTGCTGTGAATAACGCAAGAGTTTGTTCTCGGAAATAGCCTACGGCAACTACAACGGGCCAGGAGTCAAGGAATCGATTCATTTGGAGTCGACTCTCCACCACTACTTGTTTATCCATTGTCTATGCAAATGTAATTAAATGTGGTTACAAATGTTTTTACCACAGCATTGTTGATTACTTGTTTCTGATTGGTTAGAAGGGCATTCTAGAAGGGCATTCTAGAATGGACATTAAAACCAAATAACGGGACCGTTGTAAAAGATATCGGGACTTGACGCAATATGCACCTACACATGCAGACCGTACTTGCTACAAAGTTACAGAAATATAAACCAACAACCACACTAACTGATATTGGACACATTGTAAATGCAGATCCACCGAGGAAAAACGTAGCTAGCTAGTATTGATTTGCTTCTGCAAAGAATTTGATGGCCTAACATTACATTTTACATTTTACATTTTAGTCATTTAGCAGACGCTCTTATCCAGAGCGACTTACAGTTAGTGAATACATATTTTTTTTTATACTGGCCCCCCGTGGGAATCGAACCCACAACCCTGGCGTT